AAAGCCATTTTGTTACTCATGAAGAAAAAATAAAATTTAAGTCAATAAGATTTATTCACAGAACAGCAATAAGCATGAGGCTAGATGCTCACATTTGGATCCAAGCTTTCCTCATCAGCTCCAGCATTATTCTCAGAAGTCAAGGAAGGCTTATTTGAATCCTTTTCACTTTGCTCTTTCTGCTTTGCCTCTTTTTCAGCTATTTTTCTCTCAGCCTTTAAACGTCTCTTCAGCTCACTGCAAAAGAGAAACCAGATGTAGCAGGTACCCTGATACTGTATAATTGTTTCCCTGTAGAAGTAAGATTTTGGCAGGATCCTGCCAAATAACCCTGTCACTTCTCTTAATCTGCCCAAAAATCAAGATAATGCTTAAGCACGTTTAAACATTTTATTCTTTGAACTCTTTTAGTTCATATCCTACGATACAAATACTCAGGGAAAGTGAAAGCGAAATTAAACAGCGGAGACAACGCCTAAGCGTCCAGGGGCATTCCACACCCATTTTACTACTATGAGCCTGGCAGCCCCACGCCGCGTGAAAGTGAAACAAGGCAAGGTCCCCACTGCAAGAAGTCAGGCGAACGGAAGGTTCCCGAAGCCGCCTTCGCGGTCCGGCCCGTTTCCCCAGGGCACTCAGGCTCCTGCCGCGCTCCCGACCCCGCCGTCCGGGACTCCGTGAGGACAGAACTGGTCCGAGCCAGACGCAAAGCACCGACCTGCTTCGGCCATGAAGCGCCTGCCGCCATCGGAGCGCGGGCGCGGCCCTCCAGGCCCAGTCGCGGAGCCGCGCGGCGACGGGGCTCAGCATGGGGCTCCGCCGGGTGCCTTGGCGGAGACACGCACCGGGTCAGCCGGACACTCGCCTCGCCTCGCCTCACTTTCACCTTCACCTTCAACTTCACCTCCCCGGCCCGGCCCCGCCTGCCCGCCCACCCTCACTTTTTGCTGAGGTGCGACTCGGTCTCCGTCGCCTCACACGCGCGCTCTGCCGCCGCTGCCGCCGCCGCCATCTCCCGCTGCCAGCACCGCCTTCCCAGCCTCCCGCCCCTGCGCGCGGGATAATGACAATGGGCGGGCACGGGGCGGTGATGGGGGCGGTGATGGGGGCGGGCGCGGGGAGTGTTGGCCATGGGCGGGCCCGAGGCAGTGATGGCGGGCGGGCGCGGGGCGGTGACGGCGCTGGGCGGGCGCGGGGAGTGTTGGCCATGGGCGGGCGCGGGGCGGCGATGGCGGGCTCGGCGGCGGAGGAGTTGCGGTCCCGGTCGCTGTTCCTGTGGGACGACGGGCGCCCGATGCGGTTCTACGTGCGGCCCGGGGTGGCCAAGCTGCGCCTGGCGCCGCTGGTGCTGGCGGGCGGCGGGCGGCTGTGCCGCGTGCAGGAGCCCGGGGCCGTGCTCCTGGCGGAGCCCGGCGAGGCGGCTCCTGGCGGGGCCGTCTCCACCGAGTACGTGACGGAGTGCGTGGAGCGCAACGAGCGGCTGCCGCTGGAGCCCTTCGTGCTGCCCGCCGCGCCGCCCCTCGCCGCCGCCGCCGCCCCGCGCGGCCGCCTGGCCTTCACGGAGGCGGAGGACGCGGCGCTGCTGCGGGCGGTCCGCGACGGGGGCGCGGCGCGGGCGGGCGGGCGGGCGCTGTGGATGGAGCTGGAGCGGAGCGGGCTGACCCGGCACAGCTGGCAGGCCATGCGCGACCGCTTCCTGCGGCACCTGCGGCCGCTGCTCACGGGTGAGCGGGGGGCGCAGGGCGGGGGTGGCGGGGCCGAGCGCGGGCCCGGGCCCCGCTGAGGCCCCGCTGACGGTGCCCGCGTGTTTCCGCAGAGCCCCTGCAGGCGGAGGAGGCCTCGCAGGTCACGGGTCTCTTCGCGGCCAATAACCGGGAGTTCGAAAGCGCGGAGGTGAGTGGGGCCAGCCCGGGCAGCAGCGGTACCGCGAGCGGCTCGGGCCCGACTCTCCCCGGTGTCACAGGCGGCAGCACCGCTGAGCATCATTAACAAGTGAAATGCCTTTGCACCGTGACATCCCTTCTGTGGCTAAAGGGGAGCTTCTTGTGAGCTGTCAGCTACGTAGCTTGTGATGAATGGGGCCTTGCTGCCACAGATTTTCTTAACTTTGTTCCCTGCCCAAGTTAACGTGAGGAGGTTTATGTGATGGGGTTGTCACGTTAAAACCTGCATTGGCAAATAGAAGTCATCCTTTCATCTCAGACATAAGATGTGCCTGCAGCTGCATCATCACTTTTGCTTTTTATGCTTAGTTTGTTCAAAGTCTCCCTTATATTTCACGCCTTTCTATGATCAAGTGTGTCTTCATTAACACATACGGCTTAACTTCAGTAATTGAATTTTACTATGCCTAGTAATTTCTGAGGTTTTTATATACTATAGGGTCACAGTGGAAGGTAGTTGGTAGCAGTAGTAAAAAAAGCTGGTCAGAAAATACCATGTCTAATTGGTGACTCCACTTCTCTTACTCTCAGTCAGAAAGCGACACTTCGGATGTTTCAGAAGAACTTTCTACACAAGATGGAGCAGGAAATTCCCCAGGAGAAACAGCATCAGATTTGAAATCTGGACTGGAGGACTCTGCTTTCCTTGACACTCAGTTACAAAGGGAAGAAAGACCAACAAGCACTTGTTCTTCCAGTGTGGTGGGAGAAGTAGTAAAAACTATGCAGCACTTCATGGAGAAGTTCAGTGTGGACCTGTTCACTGTTACACAGGCCTTTCTGAAAAACAGTGGTGAAGTGGAGGCTACTTCAGACTTTCTACAGATGGGGCAGCGCTTGGATGGGTACCCTGTATGGAGCAGAGAGGATGATTTAGAATTGGAAAAGGATGATGAACATGTCAGAAATAAATTGATAGCAAAATTTGGAGCTGAAAATGTAGCAAAGCGGATAGCATTTAGGAAGAGTTAGCAAGAGGACGACTGATCTAGGACTGTGACAGGAACTTTATAGTCATTTCAGAAATGTGATGGAAAATTTGATCAACATTATGAAGTTTCAGAAATGCTTTAATTTTTTTTAATAAAAGGCCCATTTTTATCTCTACAGGTTGAAGTGTTGCAGCTTCCTTAATCCAGGCAAAGTAACACATGTACCAGACCATATATTCTAGTTGGGAAAAGTACACCAGTTTCCAGGGCCATGTGCAATAGTAGAAGTAGGAGAGACAAGTTTAACTAAGAGTGCCCAGAGTTAAGGTATCACTTAAGTTGTGTTTAAGAGAGAACACCATTGCTGGTATACAGTCACAATCTGAAAAACTCGGTACTTTTAGCACGCTGTGCTCTGGTCACATAATATTATTTGAAGTGAATCCTATAAATCTGGAGTTCATTCTTTTGGTGAAATTAAATGGGCTGGTAAAACCAAATTTTTTTTTTCCTAAAGATTTATATTTTGGGGTTTTTGCTTATTGCACTGTGGCACTCAAATTAAGGTGGATTGGGAAGTTGCTGATTTTAAGCCAAATTCAGATTATCTTGAAAGTAAGTAACAGTTTGATATAATGAGACTGCTATTTCAGGAAACCACGGAAACACCTGAAACACCAACTGATTATAAGGGGGGTTAACCAATGTAACCAAATAAATGCTGAAACTCCACTATGCAGTGTTTCACTGGACAGGTCATTCCTGCTGAAAAAACGCTAATTATTTGGCACATTCATGCCATTCACACTGGTTATTTCAGACTTGTGTGGAAGGCCAGACAAGCACTTAACAAGGGCATGCAAGACATCACAGCAAACAGAATAGTAAGAATTTTTAAATTAGAAACTTTGCCAGCTGAATTTGAAATCCAAGTACTGCTGATGACCAGGTTCATCAACAGGAGATCTGTCACCCCCTGCAGCAAAAAGCTTCCCGTTCCAGGAAGCAGAAGTTTAAATAATTTTCAAAACAGTACACTAAGAAAATGCATTATATATTACTTTTATGTCATTTGTTTACTGACTGACTGGAAACATTATGAAGGCTTTTGTTCAGGTAAACATTTGATAGACAGCATTGATTGAGTCCACTAAAAACCAGTATTTATAATAGAACTTAAGCCACTCAAGCTGATGTAGAGATATAATTAGCAATGTATTGAAAAGACTATATTTGCTCAAAATCAGGCTTCTTGGCACTTAAAGTAGGAAGCTCTTTACTATAACCTCAATAAGAAGAGGCTTCTGAGACCCCATGCTATTAGCTGGATGTGTTAAGGTCTATTTTAAAGGGACTTTGAAGAAAAACTGGCTGTGTGGTTCTCTGGCACAGTACAAGTCCCACTTCTCTATGTCAGCCTGCCTGCATTAAGTTTGCATAAACACTGTGTAAAGGAAGATGCCTTGCTTTCAATGGACTTAGTACCATGATGCCAGTGCTGCCTGCTCAGCATGGATTTTGTCATTCAACAAGATCCCCCATAATAACACTATTATTTCCATAATACAACATCCCACTCTTTGCAGGGATTAGAGGTTTAGTTGTAGGAATATAGATATCCACCTTGCTAAGGTAGCAAGTGATCTGTAGATGTGTGTTAAAGAGAATCCACAATTTACATGTGAAAGAGATGTTTAGGAAGAGGTGTTTGTAGGCATTTCACTCCTCCCCAAGTCTGGTAACAAGTTTTTCTCCTTGTCTTCTAGAACACTGTTAAAACCAGGTAAAAATAATTCTGTTGTCCTGGTTTGAGCTACATATTCCCATCGGAGGTGGGAAAATGGCATCTCCAATTGTGCCATGGGCTTCTTCAGTCGGCTCTCATAAACCTATCTTCCCAGTCCAGTATTTATACCAATGGAATCCATGTCCTTACCTTGTCTTTAGGATCTCAACCTTACCATGAATCCCACTGTCACACATGTGGACTGTGAGAACTCACGGGGTACAACTATTCTCAGGTTTGAAAGCTAAAATAAAGAATTATTTCAACTAAAAAAATAAACGGATTCATATAATCCCAGAAATGGATCCCCACATGCAAATCCAAGAGTTTTTATTTTCAACAATAGCGGGTTTATTCCATTTTCCCGTTATACAATAAATGAACACAAACATTTCCCCAACACTGCCAGCAAGGCTGGATACCCAGGCAAAGGAATGGAGCAAAAGGAAAACTGGGCTTGAAAACGCAACCGTTCAAAAAAAAGCATCTTTCCAGAAACCAAATGTTGGTCATCCTTGCATCTCTTCTGGCATTACATGTCCCGTGTGGCAGCATGACAAATAATGTTCTCTCTATTCAGCTTCCTTTTATATTTCCTCTTCCTTTGCAGTGCAATTGCTTCCATGTGGGGGGGTTGAGTTCTGCTATCTGGTCCCACTGCTTTGCTATTCTGTATGCTCCAATCTAAACATACTTAATTTGGAGAACAAACTTGCATTACTTCAGCCTCCATTGTGGCTAAGTTTCCAGGGGCCTTAGAGAGTGACCCTGTGCTGCTGAGAGCTCTCGTGAATGCAGTCAGGATTCCTATGTTACCTGTCCTTGCATGCATGCATATCCATGCACATGCTCTTACACTTCTATGCCTGCACCTCTGTCCTCTTTTGTTTTTGTGGACAGTTCTGCACTCTGCAGCCTTCAGAGAGTAGGTACAGACACCAGCTGTTCTGCCTCCGGAGTTTGATACTCAGAGGAGTTCTGGGCAAACGAAAGATCCAGTGACATATTTTTTTGCTCTTCTTCAGATTGAACGAGCCGGTAGCCCAGCAAGTCCATCGCATCCTTGCACACTTCTTGCACTTTTTCTATTTTCTGGAAGGGAAGTGTCTTCCTCCAGGCCTGAGATACTCTCTGTGCATCTCTAGACCCAATTTCAAAGGCCTGTGCTCCGAGACCTTTCCCATGAGTGATATTGTGCACCCATTTCTGAAGTTCTGGTGTGAAATGGAGTTCTGCAAACCTGTACATCTGAGCAGCCTTTGCCAGAGGGTCTCTGACAATGTCTTCATAGCGAACCAGCAAGTATCTGTCTTTCAGGAAGCTGGAAGTGGCCCGACTTCCTGCCTTATAAATCTCAACATGACTTCTGCAAATTACTTGCATTGTGTTGTAGGGCCCCATTTCACCCTTTGTCCTCTGAGACCCCACAATAATGTTACTGTCACGTTTCAGGTCTGCCACTGTATTCTCGCGGGACCTGAACACAGCCCGGGGATCACGGACCAAGTGAATAATTTTGATGTTCAGGGATGGATCAGTGAGAAGGGGGTAAAGGACTTTCAGGTCAAAGAATCGAACCTCCTTGATGGCAACATGGCTGTAGGTTTTACAAGCTTCCTCCACCTTGCTGAATGGGTACTTGCTACAGATCTTTTTGCAATTGCCTGCAGTGATTATGTCAGTGCGATTGAACAAGTCACAGGCAGGTGGGGAGCACAAGGCTCGGCTTGTCTCCCACTGAAATAAATCGGACTTTTTCTTCTGGCTAGACATGTAAGCATCAAACACAGACATGTCACACAGAAAGACCGACCTAACTAAGTCCCGCACTGCCATGTGTAAGACTTTGGCACTGTTCTGGTACATCTTGACCCAGACATGCCACGCGGGCTCCATCAGGTAGAAAACGCTGGGGTGCTGGCTGAAGATTTGTCCAGTGAAGGAAGATCCTGATCGCCAGGTGGAGAGAATGAGGATGTGGACTGGAGAAGGTTTTTCTTCCATGGGGGCATTGTTGCTGCAGGGCAGGAAGTGGATCAGTAGGAAGGACAGAACTACCAGGATCAGGAGCACGTGCACTCTTCTAGGCTTCAGCATGGTTGCAAAGGACCTGCAGAGACAGAGGAAGTTCAGCATCACAGGATCACGAAGAAGGCAGGATGTGGTGCATCAGGCTCCTGTGAATTTCTCTGAAGGCACAGGGTTTTAGAAAGCTGTCACAATACCAATGACATTGTGACAACCACTGCACAAGCTGTCTTTGAAAAGGACGTGAATTCTGCCGGGCTGGAGGTTTTCTGTAACAAAACCACAATTTGTCAGTAAGTTTGTCCAATGTTGTCAGTAAGTGTTGTCTGATGCTGTCCTAGAAGATATTGAAAAGCTTGTCTGCGTTTTTATCGAAGTTTAAGAGCTAGTTGAGTGCATTGAAATAAGTCCATACACACATGTGTATTTCATGTACACAAGCCCTGCAGACATGATCTGGGCAATTTTTATGAAGAAAAGATATAAAACCCCACTTTTTTGTGGAGAATTCAACAGTTCCACATTGTTACTTTTAAACACTTGCTCTGACCACCATTTACAATTATTTTAATGCCAAAACACTGCAAACATACAATATAGGTTTCAGGGGGGTTTTATTATATTCTTTTTGAAATTTCAGGAAACATTTATTGTCACCACAGGCAAAAGCTCACATACCAAAGAAAGTAATTTGGCACTGTAATAAATCCAAGTACAACAATATCTCCTCCACACATAGAGCATCATAAGCAATTCTGCTAGAAAGGCCTACAAGTGCAGGCAGGCTTAACTGCTTACCTGCCTACTAGCCCTCTTCTTAGCCTAACTCCTTTTTAAAGATTGTCTCCTGCTACCCTTCTTTCCTACCCCACTCATTCCATAGGTCTTGTATGAGAAGAGGTACAATAGATTGTGCTAATTGAACTCAAAGTTCTGCCCAAAGCTGGCTCCTTGTTTCTCACACTAAACCTCTGTTTTAAAAAGTACATTAAAGCAAGCCAACTGCTCCTGTCTTGTGCACTCTCCTTCCCTCCCCCAGCAGTGCCTGACTGTACCTCAAATACAGAGGAGTGCTTGCAGCACTGGCCACCCTGGGGGCCTGGCTTCTCGAGGCCCATCACCCCCTGCCAGCCTGGCAGGTCAGCCGTGCAACTGCTTTACATTTTCCAAGGTGAACTGAAAATAAAAAACCTCACTGATTCTTAGTCATGGTCAGTCCTTCCAGGTACAGCCACAGCCAGACAGGCCAGAGAGAGCAGGGCCTTCAGTGGCGCAGGGCAAGATGGAAGTTCCTCGTGGACAGAGCAGCACCAGAGCTCAGGTCCAGCTTTGTACACTGCTTTGTTCAGCCATGATTGCATGGGGCTGAGGCAGCCAAGCCCATGCAGAGCAGTAACCCCCTACTAAAGCAGCAAAGGTATAAAATGTGACCCAACCAGCCACAATGCAGACACTGCTTCCCTGCTACATGCATCCCATGTCATCTTCTGGGTCCACAGTAATCATGACTGCTCCCAAAGTTTCCCTAACCTCCTCCTTATGACCTGCCTCAATTTCATTCTGTAGCCAAGCTTGTCAGACAAATTTGCATGGGGGTGCCTCCTCCTATTATTTCAGTTCCTCTGGTACCGATGTTCTAGATTTTCAGGTACAGTCACTGCTGCTAACCAACTAGGAACTCATCTGCTCCTCCAACATATATGCATAAATTGACTTGTTTATCTAAGCTATCTGCTGTCCATTGTTTTGAGCTTAGGGTTTATAAGGCAGCAATTATAATTTCTCAGAGCCAGGACAATAAGTAGCCCAATGGGTAACCCTGGTTGTTGCCAGTAAGTGCTACCACAATATGACTTTTCCTTTAGTAATGTCTTGCAAGGATAGGGCTGTGCATTTAGTAAGGGACCATATGCTTCTGGTCTCCTGGACAAGAAGCCCATTGATTTTTTTGGTTACACAAACGGCCTGTAGTGTTCAGGTCTGATGATAAGCTGAATCAGGTCGCTATTTGGACCAACCCAGGAAAAGCTGCAAACAAAGAGTGTGGTAAAAATCAGTCACTTATCAGCTTCCTCCTTGCAAATATAATGCAAGGAATACAGTAGTGTTTACCAAAAGTCCTGGCTTCCAAATGAACTTCGACAATATCTCTTCCATCTGGCGCGATTAATATTGTTACTCTAACTCCTCACAGAGTTCCTGGACTATAGCCAGAAGTTATTAATCAAGAAAAGTCTGTTGAGCAAACATGAACACCGGCATGAGAATGCCCAGGCAGATTTAAAACCACAGAAATAATTATTTCTATGGGAACTTGCATGCAAATAGTCTGAGAATGGATTTGGTTTTTTTCAGGGAGGAAGGGAATGTTTTCATCTTGAATCAAATCAGGGTGGGATAGCTGCATGTTTTAGACATTTGACAGAGTATGCAGGCCATTCCTGTGACTGTTTTTGGTAGAAATGACCTCGTGTGAGGCCACAGCCTCAACAGCTTCTTCACTTTTATACAAGAAATAGTGATGATTGTTGCCCTGACAAGTCTGTTCCACAGAGGGCAGAAGGACTGAAATGAGTTGTGTGCCTGGTGAAGTGGAATAGAGTAGCAGCAAAGAACAGTAGAGGTTGTATCGTACCTTCCCTAATATGGTATGAAATACTAGTTACATAACCTTATTCTTCACCACTGCATCTCTCAATCATGGCAGCTGGGAAATTTCTAAACTAAGGTCTCAAGCTTAACCACATTTTCCCCACAGCAAACATCCAGAGTCACCAGGGATTCAGTTAATTTCACATTGCAAAAGTGAAAATATGAAGCTCTCATAGAGCTGCTGAGTAAAGATCAGCCCAGAATGATTGAGACAATCTCAGCTGCAGAACAAAAAAAAGGCACACTGCTGTTGTGTGCTGGCAGAGAGATGAGCCAGGATTTGGCTGAGAGCAGAAAGAATAGGAAGAATCTCAAGGTACAGAGGATGAAGTACAGGAACTACTGAAAAAAACGACAATCCAGTGTCACCATGTTAGTCTCCCACAGCCAATGTATGAGAACACAAAGAACTGGGATCTGCCTGCCTGAGCAGCTAGAGTCTCAAAACAAACAAACAAACAAACAAACAAAAAAAAGCAGTTTTATGCTTTTCCAGAAAGACACAGGGACCTTGGAAAATCTTGATCCTGGCAAAGAGCAAGCATTATAGGAAGCAACAAGCAGCCCAAGGGAAATCTACACATCAAACGCACTCTGAGCATTGGGTGGCCTGTTCCCAGAGTACAAAGTTTTGTGGTATTGAGTGGCATGTCCCCAGGGTTTGTTGAATCTATGCATGCCTGGGGTGGGTGTGAGATAGCCCAAAATATCTGCAGTGCAGACTGGTGTTAAGTGCTCTGCCAGTGTGGGGGAGTTCTGCAGACCTGTACACATTCCCCATTGGTGTAGTGGCAGCGCTATAGCAAAGAGGATCTGGTGCCAGGGAAGCCCCAGGCATTCATCTTTGATGGCACTGATGGTTGCTCATAGTTTTTTCAAATGCTTCTTCAATTTGTCCTGGTCATCTTCTGCAGAATTAGAAGTCATCTGCCCAGAGGAGAGCAGCTGGCATGACAGTCAATAGTGGGAAAAGCTGAGCAAGGGCACTGAGAAGACAGCCAGTAGAAGCAGGAGCTACCCTCTAAGTCAGGCCAGCAGCTTCTGTCTGCAGGAAGAATCGTAGCAATTTGCTGGCATCTGTATGTTTGCAGTGTTTTGCAAAAATTATCTCCCAGTTCAGGCTGCTGAGCATGAGCAGTGACTACAGTTCTGGGCACAAGAGCATCCACACCAGATACCAAGAAATGGTTGAAAATCTCTCACCTTAGCAAAGTCCTCTCGAAGCACCACCAGGCCTGATTCAAGCAAAGTTGCCCTCACACACGTTCACTGCTGTGGTACACAGCCCTCTAGGCAGTCACACGAACACTCTGCCTTCATGCTGGGCTCTTATATACAAGTGCTCTCAGCTCCTACCTACACCTGTGGCTGCTCCCTCCTATCCCCTTCGTTTGTGTATGTCCCAGCTCTAAGAGTGACTGCTCTGCACTGCCCGCCTACTTTGATCAGCCTTGGACTAGAAAAGCTCCACCCTGCACTAAGTACAAAGCATCGTACTGGAAGTTTATTGCAGGGGCTCAAATGACCAGGAACTGCTAATAAAGGAGCAGGGCCAGAAAGTTTATGAAGGAGACTGAGAAGTCCTTTTAAGCTAAGTCCTATTGCAAGCCCCCAAAGAGATGGCTCTCTATAAAAGGAGGAACAGGGATGTCTGTGAAGTGTCAGAGCTTGCCCACCAGGAGTGCAGAGACAAGGAATATTTTCCTACCATTGCTCTGGCTGCTTGTCATGTCAGCAAATGCAAATTCACATAAAATCTTTTTGTCTCTTCTCTGTCTGTGCCTTGCTTGAATTAAACATTTGGGGTGCTGGGGAAGAAAATTGTGCGAAAGGAGAAGCTGTGGAAGGGCAGGTGGACTTGGCCTGTTAATGATTCGTAAAGGTGCTGGAGCTGCAGTGGGGCTGTGGCAGATAAGGTAGTGAATCAGGGCAGCACTGGGCTCAAGAGAAATACTACTGTGCAGAGACAATTGCTTTGGCTCATTCCTATTCCAGATCTTATAGTTTCTGTCACACAGTTTGGAGAAATGTAGACCTTCTCTTAATGGTGTCCCCTGTCCCCAAGGACATCATTGACACACTCTCAGGGCAAGTGGAGTATAAGAGACAGCAGAAGCAAAAAGTCTGGGCAAGGCTGGTCCTTCCAGCAGGAGAAACAACCCAAATGGGGCAGGTCATGTTCCCTTTCACTTGCAGCATTGCCAACACAAATGGTCAAGCCCTGGTAATCCTGGGCTGGGAAACAAGGTGAGAAGCTGGCAGTGGCCCAGGAAGGGCCCTGTAATGAACCATGCAATGTTTTGTACAACCTGGATTTCAGCTGTGTGTTCCCATGCCCTGCACTGACACCATCCATAGGAAGGATTCACCTGTAGGTCATGAAGTGTTCAAAACCTTTGTAAAGGTCACACCACTTGAGTGGCTCTTCCCGAAGCATTATTCCTCCCTGGACAACAGTTGCATGAACAGACGTGTATCAAAATTTCTGTTCCAACTGTATGTAGTTTGCCTGAGGGTGTGTCTTTGACAGCTGATGAGAGAACAAGGCATACCTGGAGCAGTGAAACCGACTCAGCTGTAAGGTTTGACTAACCCCATGCCCTGTCTTCTGCCATCATCAAAAGCAGATGCCTAGGGGAGAGAACAAGAAACTCATTTCCTCCCTACATGCTGTCTTGGCCTGAAGCCAGGGATTTGGAGGACACAATTCACCTCCCTGAGTGGAGTTATCCAAAATAAACTAGTGAATGATGCCCTGGAAATTCCTGTTCCTTTCTGTTGGCTGTGACAAGAGTGGAGGGTGATGCTTGTGTAAACACAAAAGCTGTCTAAACTCAGTTCAGATTAACCTTATCTTTGCATTTGACAGCACCTAGATCTTTTTTATATTCACTTCTCCAATCATGTTTTGAACTCAGATACTTTTGACATCAACAAGATTTCCTGGCAATAGAGTTATGTTTGGCTGCATATTGTGAGAACTACTTTCCTCTGTTTTGAACCTACATATAAAAACTGTTTTTCATATTACCACATTTTTTTTTTAGTCAAGAAAGACAACAAAAAATTTCTTCCTACTGTAGTCTTCAAGCTATTCAAGATTTTAATATCTGCTCTTGTATGCCCTGCAGAACAGTTCATACCAGGTTGATAACTAAAGCAGCTCATGGGAATCATGCTGCAGAAGTCTCTATGTCTTTTAGGTATATGTTGGGATGATTCACATTTTCTGCATCCCAAAGGTTACGACACCAGGGAGCTGCTGGAAGAGTCAATGCTGTGACTGCACTGGTGAATGCTTACTACAGAAAGATGTCTCCCTTTCAAAGCAGAGGGAGTTCAGTTGCTTTCTAGCTGACACCACTAAAGCTGTAGAGGAAAGATGGAAATTTATGGCTCTGTAAGATTAAGTGTGACAGAAAGCTGTGATGTGACTGCTCACATAGAGGCTATGTACAGTCTCCTGTGCTGATCACTGGATTTGAGTAGTGCTATATTGTTGTGTTTTGAATTGCACAGGCAAAACTCTGCTCCTTGCAGAAAAGAAACCTGACAGTAATTTAAAAAAAAAAAGAACAAAACTCTATGTCAATTGCTCATCATTTTCATCTGGATAAAGGCAACAGAGTGGAACTCTGGCTTTAGGAAAGACCTTTTTTGGTAGGGATGCTGTATACAGTCACCCTGGTTGCTTAAGAATTCATCATTCATAGGGGATGGAAAGAAAATGCAGCAGTGAGGCAAGCCCCAGAATCCATAGGAGCAGAACTGCACTGTCTATGCTAAACTCCAGTCAGAGCAAGTTTTTTTCTGAGCCAGAGCAAATCTTGCCCCATGTGGCTTCTAGAAAAAGGAAGAATGAGACAAATGACTGATATGATGTCCTGTATGAGGCATCTCTCCAAGGACAGGCTGGTGTGCTTCTGCACTGAACTTGCTTTGGCCTTTTCCTTGTGTTAGAGATAAGTTTTAAAGTTATATTTTTATTTAAAAGCAGTTTGAGATAAATAGATGTGTCTTAATTGGCACATAAGTACCCAAAGTTGCCGCAGGCAAGAGCAAGGATAGTGGCTGACCCCCTCCCTCTCTCACCCTGAGTGCAGTTGCAGTATTATTTATTGTTTTCATTGTAATATGGCATTCTAATATCAAGTGGTGGGAGAACAGGAAAATGGGAAAACATGAGAGAAAGAAAGAAAGAAGCTTGTGTAAATCAGGCTCTAAAAATGAGGTCACATAATACTTTACCAACACATTACAGGAAAGAGAAAAATAGTAAGAAAAAAGGTATTTATTCAACTTTTGAATTAATTTCACCAGTCAGCTTCTGCCTTCTTTAAGTACATAGGCAGTGTATAACCAGAAATCAGCAAGGCACTGAATCTTAGAGCAGAATAGCTAGTTTAGGGTTGAGAGAAACAACAGCAATAAGCAGACCTGAAGCACAGAGAAGCTCACACAGTGCACTGGAGTACAGAAGATCTCATGCTAGCACCAACTACTTCTGCCAGGCACCCAGGAAATAAGTCATTTAGATCATTGACAGCACCTATTTGCTCTGGCAAAGCTTCAGGGAACACTGACCCAAGTCAAATAAGAAAACCGAAGACAATGCACAACAAAGCAAAGGGCTGGTATAGATCTGGGCTCCCAGCACTGTGATAGCCTGTGCCTGACAGCCAAACCATGAGGAGGATCCCAGTGCTTCTGCCCCCCAGGAGGTTCTCCCAGTGCTGGGGACGCAGGCTGAAGGCCAGTATAGAAGCTATAACCATAACCTTCTTCTGACCAGTTAAGCTTAGCTAATTTTTAGGTGCTTTCCAGTGACTCGAACCCTGCTGAGGCTGTGTCTTTCATGGCTGTCCTGTCAATAGCAAGACTTTGCTCGTGCTGAGCCTTCCTTCTCCTGCAGAACTCTTCTGCCCTCTCACACTCTGGTTTGCAAAATCCCTCCCAGTCACCTCAAGTAAGTATTGTTTCCTAGCCCACTGCTGCTGCCTCCTCTTACATCCACAGTCTTTTCATGGCTACTTCTCATCCTCATGGAAGCCTATCTGTGCCTCCCTTTGCTGTGTGTCTTGGGTAATGCTACCAGAGCAAGTCAGCTCCTCTAGCCTCTGACAGGCCTGCAGAGCCTGGGAGAACAAGGTTATGTGCCAGCCCTCATGTACAAAGAAGTGTTGTATGGACACCTTCCCCTGGGTCCCCTGGGGTCCCACTCCCGTGTGATGCTCATACCTCACCTGAGCTCCCAGGCAGGCTGGGCCCTGGGTCACCACAGCCTCCACCTTCGTGTCCAGACTGACTCCCTGCAGCCATCCTGGGTCCAGGTCAGTGCAAATCACATCTTCCCACTGCAGGTATACAGAGTGGCTACATGCTGGTGGAGAGCAGGCCAATGCAGACAAGTTCTTGCAGCCAAAAACCATGGCCCCAAGGCAGGAAGACCCTCAGGGACCCCTCTGTTCTACAGCCCTGCTGGAAGCAGCCAGGGCTCCTAGAAGAAGGAGTGGGTGAAGCCAGGGGCTGGGCTGCATTCAGGCTCCTAAGGCACCTGGGGGAGCTGATGGCCTCACTGCTGGCAGGTGTGATTTGGCCCTGCTTGCCAGTAGTGCTGAACCCCGCTGCCAGCCCCTTCAGAAGCTGAGGACTAGTACACTTCACCTGCATTGGCCCCTGAGCTGAGAAATTCCTTCCTTTCCCAAGAAGAGCACTAGGCACAAGGTTGCCTCTCCGCCTAGGTCCCCATGTCTGGGGTAGGTCACTCTCCTCCTAAACACGGCCAGTCCAGACAGCACAGGAAACAGCAGAAGCGCACTGCAAGCCTGTCCCAGGGTGTACTGCTGGTGCTCCTCGGCTAAGGCAGGGAGGATGGCTGTGGATCAGTGTGTGTGTGTGAGCTGGCAGAGGCAGGATGCAGGGACAAACACAAAACCACAGATGAAATACAGAGTAAATTTAATTCCATTACCTCACCAACCAGAGGATCCTCAAAGCAGTACCCAAAGCAAGAGGCACAAAAACAGGGATGCCAGCACTGCGGAGCCTGGTCCTTGCTCAAGGGTCACCAAACCTGCTGTTTTCACCTGCATATCAGGGATTATTGCAGGCATAGTTTACCACTGATATTTACCACATCAGAGCAGGAATCCCAAGCATGTTCAGTGGGGTGTTTCTCAGTCTATCACAGGCCTGCATTACCTAAACACAGATGTACTACTCATCAAACACACAAGGCTAAACAACAACTAGTACAATACATGTGTTTTTCTACACCTCACCTCAGCTGCAAGTCACTTGGATTTGTCTACAATCCTCCTCACCAATCTTCCGTTACTTTCCCACCATCAGTCATAAGGGCTCTCAGGGAGTTCTACTAAAGCCCTGCAGACCTTGTCTGAGCATCTGCAAAGAGCAGCTTCAGGACAGTGTCTTGACTTCTTCCTTGGTCTCATTGCTGAAGGGGTTTTCTTTGGCACAAAGCATCTCCAAACATCAGCTTAGGCTAGTTTGTATGGCTGGCAGGGTGCTCTGGACTACACCCACACTATGACGCAAAGCATCTGTGAGTATAATACCTGAAAAACGATACCAGCACATTTGTGGTTTAATGCTAGTTTGCTATTGCATCCAGGAAAACATAGGTGTGGTCAAAAAGCAGTGTTATGTTTGCAAAAGATGGCAAAAGAGGACGTGGACTTGAGAAATCTAGATATACTGAATATTACGAGGTATGGCTCCCTCAGCATCCCAGGCCAAATGCTACTGGGTCAAGAAGAAATAGAATCAGGTTAATTATTGCAGAACATTTGCATGTTAACAGACACCTCTGAGAGGACTCTGAAAGGAAAGGGGTTCCTAAAGGGACAGTGATCTCAAAGGAGTGGCTTTCTCTAAAAGCAGGATCTGTTCATTAGTAATGGGGATTAAAGCCACAGAACCTAAGATGTGTGGAGAAGAGTTCAAGAAAACAGATGAAACTTGACAGCTGTAGTAGATGCAAGATGGCATAACAATGCAGAAACATCATGCTGTAAAGGTCTCCTGGCCCAACAGACCCTTCACACACCATTCTACTTATTATTTCTCAATGTTTAATTTAAGGCAGCTCTGGTTATTTGGCTCTAGACATCTAATGGCATGAAATCTCTGATGCTGTGTACTACTCATCCATAGTCCCAGCTTCCCTCTCTTTTTGTTCTGGGATTGCTTTCTTTGAAGGGAAAAGATGTAGCATGGACACTCAGCTCACGTGTCAAAGACCTTTTCATATACTGCTATCTTTCTCATATAGATACCTCCCCTCTAATGGGCTACTGGTACCCAGATTTTGTACTGGGCAAGGTAAGAGGAGACAGTGAGATGCCTACAGAACCTGTCAGGTCTGGCAGCGTGTGATCTAGAGCTAGTTCATTTTCCTGTCATTGGTGACGCAGGGTTGACCCGTGAATCCCAATTCTGCAGGAGGACAGGTGAGCAGAGCTGAAGGGGATGACATGAGGCACTCTGCAGCTTGCCCCTCTGTCAGTTCCAGAAGTGGCTCCCGGGCAGCTCACCAGGCCACACGCTCTGATGGGTGTTATCTCCTCCTCTCTTTTCCACCAAATGAACAGATACCAGGCCTCCGTTTCCTTATTACTTTAGGGAGCTGATGTATTCAGCAATCAGTAACCCTGGCCCCACTGGCGTGTCACAAACACTCCGTACAATGGGGTTCCACCCCATGATTCACCACTACAGCAGGAAATGTGTGGCTGCCCCAGCCTTGAGTACTTAGGCACCAGCACCTAGCATGGCTGGCTCTGGTCCCAGGGGCAGCTGCCTGCCCACAGCAGCTGGCACCAGCACCCCCTGCTCTGTTGGGGTCCATGGCGGGGGGGCTGTGAGGGCCAAAAGCAGGTGCAGACAGGACTGTTCTGTGGGGAGCAGCCAGGCTGCCACAGTGAGCTGTCTTGGCTCCAGTCTGTGCCAAGCTTGAAGGGCCTATCCTGCCCCCAAGCCTGATGGGTTTCTTTGGGGGTCTGAGGCACTCTCACCATGTCCGTGCTGGCACACAGGATGGCTCTGGGCAGCCAGCCACAAGGTGGGGATGGTTCCTAGGGCACTGCAGCACCATGGGGCGAGCAAGGATGACACACACGGTGACTGAGCTTGACCCGGCGCAGCAGGAGCACAGTGCAGGATTGACATGTCAGAATCTTTATTAATAAAAAAAGTTACAATAACTTACTCCCTTTGTCACACAAAGGGCTCTGTATAAAGAGCTCTGGCCTCCTAAGGTAACACAAGTGAGAGGTGGGTACTTTTCTCTTATCCTCTGAGACAGCGGCCCCGAGGGTAAGTATGGCCAGCACAGGAGCCACAGGCCAACGGGGCCTTTGCCACAGGGGCCGGCCCAGGAACAGCCTTCTGCCCCTGCCTGCAGCTGGTTCACAGGCAGCACAGACCAACACAGGGTGCAGATGCTGACTATATGGAGACCAGGGGGACTGGATGCAAGAGGGTGTGCAGGCTGTAGTGGAGGAAGAGAGGAAGTGGCATCTTCTTCCCATAGTGCTGAGGCTCTCTGGAGCACAAAAATTGATGCAGCAAGACAGTGGCTGCTTGCAGGCAGGGGGATGTGGGGCTGGCTGGAAGCAGCCTTGCCTGCCTGGCTGCTGCCTCACACAAGGTCTAGCCTGACAGAGGCAGGAGGCCAGCTGTGGCTACTTGTCACACTCCAGATCCTGGGCCCCCTCAGCACCCTGGTAGTGCATCTCACAGAACTCCTGAATGCGACTGCAGGCCTCCAAGATCATCTCCTCAGGCACGGTGATCACCACTCGGAAGAAGTTTGGGTACTCAAAGCACTGAAAGAAGAAAAGATGAAGCTGGCAGATTGCCTGGGGTAGTTCTGTAGTTTCAGAGACCTGCCTTGGGGCCATGTGCTGCATCACAAGTGAAAATGGTCAATGTAGGACAGCAGGGCTGGGCTCATGCTCCCTTAGCAAATCTCCCATCTCCATCTGTGTAGATATGATGCTGTGAGGGTGACAGGCCCAAGAACTCTCTGTGTGGACTACGCAGACCCAGGGAATGGACTGGGAGGAACTAGTGAAGGAGAGGGCTGGAGAATATTTAAGACACTGTCCACATCCAGTGCTGGAAATGGAGCTGGAAGAAGATGAACGCAGGGCATAGACGTTCTCAGCCTTCCTTGTGCCTACAGGGGCTGGAGGCTGCAAAGAGGCTGAGAAAAGGAACATAGGTGGGAGCAGCCCCAGGTCTCTGAGGGAGCAAGAAGGTGTAGGGGTACACAGAGTTCAGGGATACAGCTCTGCCAACTTGAGCAATACAGAGCAAGCCTGGAGCTGGGAAGATCCAGGCTATGAGCCACAGACTGCCACACACAGCACCTGGAGCAGAAAGTCAGCTCATACACACTATTGAAGACCATGGACACTGCACACACAACTCCCAGCCTGCCCTCAGAGCTCAGGGATGCAAAACCCTGCAGCTTCTCCTGCCATGCTTTGGACTTGCAGCTCCTTGGGGCTCTCAGTGTGAGGCTTACCGAGGCTGGCAGGCAGAACACAGACTGCTCTGAGATGAGTCGCTCAGTGAACTCCACATCATTTTCAAACTCCGGGAAATGCTCCATCTCAATCTCGACCTGCAGCAGAGAGATATAACATGGCAATCAAGGGCACTAAAACAATCTGCAGTGTCCTTGTTTACACACAGGGCTCAACAACTTCCTGGTCAAGTTCAGCTGTCTGCCCTCAATTTTTTGGGCCGACTTGAATGTAAGATACAAACAGAAACATATTAATGAAAGCTGGGCTTATCAAGAAGCCATAATTAACTGCTTAAAGCTGGAATTTCAGTTAAGCACAACTTCAGTAAAAAGCACCTGATGGCAAAGATACAGTAACCACTTAGAAGTGAAAAGGAATAAATAAAACATTGAAAAAGAGCTTGGTAGAGAACTTAATATACATTGAAAATTCTGTCATGCAAGAAATCCATATGGTAAGAAAAAGACAAACTAATGTTTTGGTTTTAAAAAAAATAAAGATAGTAAGGTATATAATATCATGAGCAAAATAAATCCTTGTAGAATTATATGAAAAATTTAAAATGACATGAAAATGCAAAAATCTTCAATAAATATTTCTGTTCTGTATCTGGAAAGAAGGCAGCTGTCCATCTGTCAGTTAAAGACAGTGCTACACTGGCCATTCATTTATAGAATTCTAGAATGATTTGGATTGGATGGGACCTTAAAGCTCATCTAGTTCCAACCTCTCCAGTGGGCAGGGCTTCCACCCACTAGATCAGGTTGCTCAGGGCCCCATCCAGCCTGACCTTTACAACCAAAAATTATTTTAAACGTCTCATGAAAATATTGTTAAGCACATAATTTGCGAAACAATTTGCATGCAGAAATTCTGAAAGAGTTAGTAGGAAAAAATATACCAGATGATCTAGTTTGAAATAAATGTTCAGCTACTGCAGAAATATAATAGGTGTGAAAGAATCTTAGAGATGTACCTCTACACAAAGACCATGAGCAGAATGACCTTTGTAGCTCTGGGTAAAACTGAAAACAAGTCAACTGATAAGGATTTCTCTATAGAACATGAGTGAGACTGATATTGCAGTATTCCCCAGTTCTAAGCCCACATTTCAAGATCTGATGAAAAACTGGAGACACCATGAGACAAAAAAAAATAAAAGATTCAAAATGTGTTAAAGTGTTGTAAATGTCTCAATTGAGCTTGATGAGATGAAAAGGAAACTTTAAAATATTATAAAAAGTCACAACAAACAGGCATGGTAAAAAGTAGAAAAAGAGGCAACACCATAGGCAGAAGACAACACATGCTGCTATGAAGAAGGCTACATCTTCCACAGGAGGTATGAAAATCTGCCTTGTAGTGTAGAGGCTTCCCATTGCCACCTGACTTCAAATCCAGGTAAAACAACATTGTCTTGCAAAGTACAAGTCATGGACCTCTGTGCAGGAGCAAGCAGGTGAACTGTACCGGCCTCAGCTCTGTGACCAGTGAACAGCATATTGCGGCCTTCTAAAGTGACATGGGGATGCATCTACTGCAGAGGGCAATGTGGAAATGCACATAGTAAGGGAGATCTGGTGCCAAGTACCAATCTGAAACATCGACAAGCACTGGCAATGAGACCCGTTGTGAGTGTTAGTGGTCTGGAAACGGCACATCACTCTCCTCACTTACCATGAGGTACATGGCTCCGGAGGGCCGGACAGGCTGAAGGCCAGGGATAGCTGATAAGGCAGCATAACAAAGGTCAGCATTGGACTGAAAAGCAAAAAGGAGAAATTTCAAAACAGGAGAAATTCCAGGAAACAGCTCAGCGAATGGAAGCCAAGCTCTGAACTGGGACTATAAGCAGGTTTGCCTACTGCAAACAAAGGCACAAAAAATGCAAACAGCAGAGAGCTCATGGCCTTGAGCACAGCAGGTGTTACTGAGCTGAGCTCAGCAAGTCAGTGTCAAATGCTCCATTTATCCCCGGGGTCAGCAACTCCAGCTGCAGGGCTGGGCTGCCTGAAACTTATGCCAGCCAGTATTTCTGCCCCAGTTACAATGTCTCCTGCTGGAATTTGATTTGTTGGGCTCTCCTAGTCGCAGGCAAAACTGCACCTCGAAGTGAGGGGGGGAAGGATGACGAGCTGGAGATATGACTCCCTCCAAACAATCCATGAACAAACCTTGCTGCTCTGTTACAGCCTGTTTACCTTGAGGATGCTTAGGGTGTTGTGGTAGAACTCAGGTGGTGTTCGGCGCAAGATGCGCTCCAGTGCTCCTTGGACGAGTGTACAGGGTCCTAGGATCCTTTGACTCAGTCTTACAAGGCCATCCCTGATCTGAGAAAACATCATGACACTTACAGCTCAGATGATGCTTCCCTTAAGGAAAGGAACAGCTTCAAGGCCCACTTTCTGTATTTCTACAGCTGTTCACACCCCTCTCTTCAGTGAGCGTACATAGCACTAAAGAACATTTGCTTGACTATATGCCAGGTTTTGCAAACTATTTACAGTGCCATCCTCTGTTCCTTATCTGCAGATTGTAATGCCAACAGAGAAAACCTTTGGAGCTTCCCAATCTGACTCAAACTAGGCTGGAATATAGATAATACAAATAAAGCCAGAGCTGTTCTAAATACCACTTTGCATTTCCCTTAGTTTTGGGCCCACAATGCACACTTTCAAAGCCAGGTAAGGACAATCAACGTTAGCTTTTCTGCTCACTCATTTGGTCCTCTCTTCTCCCTCTTCTTCTGCAGAGAGCCTTCTAGGTGGAAAGGTCACTGCAGTAGATGGTTGTTCTTGCAACACAGCTGAAAAATAGCCAGATAAGGCACTGGCAGCACTGCAGAGTGCTTTGTGCTTACTTATAAGAGAAACCATGTAAGAGCACATAGACATCACACATGGACTCCATACGCTGGATAAGTCATGCAACACTTTCAGTGCACATTGGAGCTATTTGAGAAGAGAATTTAGGTGTACACGAAAAGGACAAGGCGTATATTAAGGAACAGCAGAAACAAGCAGTGTATTACAGTGTAGGTGTGGTTGGAAGGCCATGTCTGGGAGCAGATGGAGTAAGGAAGGGACATGAAGAGCCTAGAGGTGCATAAACTCATGTAAGATCAATTTGGTGACACCCATGTGAGAGCAAAAGAGCAGTACCTGCTTGTATCAGTTAAAGACCTGGTGATCCACACACTGAAGACTGCAAGTATGTTGCCATGACAGCAACACTCAGCGGTTCTCACCTCATTACCAAAGATGTCTCTCCTGTCATGAATTAGGATCCAGCCCATCCGCCAGCCAGGGACTAGCCACCGCTTTGCCAAGCCACCACAGGACAAGATTGGCACATTGGTGCTGAGAGTTGCAATGGGTTCATACTTGCAATCAGCAAACACCTGTGACAGGAGACTGTGTTAGGGCTGAACCTGCCTCTTATTGTGAGAACTGTTGGGGTGTGCATGAGACTTAACAAGAAGGGATGGGAAATTGATGGTGAAAGCTCACAGCT